GGCCATCTTTCTTGCCGAAGGTAGTTTCGGCTTTCCATCTCAATGAGGACATTGTCCTGCCTTCCTTGTGTCCGAAGCCTGTCCACAGGAAGGAGAGGGCACTGCACTGTCTGGACGTGGTCCGCGCCATCCGGGTTTACCTGAGTGCTACGGCTGCGTTTCGGGAATCGGATTCCCTGTTTGTCGTTGCAGATGGCCCCCGGAAGGGCAGGGCTGCCTCGTCGGCTACCATCTCTCGATGGATTCGCGACACAGTATCTCAGGCGTATGCTATTAAGGGGCGTGAGCCTCCTTTTTCTGTTACGGCCCATTCTACAAGGGCTGTTGGGGCATCTTGGGCTTTCCGTCATGGTGGCTCCGTTTCTCAGGTTTGTAAGGCCGCGACTTGGTATTCTGTTCACACCTTTGCCAAGTTTTATAAGGTGGATGTTTTGGCATCTGCGGATGCTGGTTTGGGGCGCAAAGTGTTGCAGGCGGCCGTTTGAGGGAATTTTTTTGTTTAGTTGGGTTTGTTGTTTCTGTTGGCCCACCCCTCTTTTTTGGTACTGCTCTGTGACGTCCCTACAGTACATGATCTCCGATCTGTTCCCTGTGTCCTTCAATGAACGGAGAGAAAAGGATTTTACGGTGAGTACCAAAATCCTATTATTATTACCCAACTTTTTGGTAAATATAAAAGACAGGGTCACGTCAACTAAAAAGACACCAAACATGTCAAGCCTTAAAATTGTGCGCGGCCGCGAAACCTCAAAAAACTACAATACCCAAAATTGGGTATAGGCGACGCTTTAACCCTTTCGCTGCCAAGGACGTACGGCATACGGAGGTACAAAAGTGCTCCCGGCTGGCCAGCTCAGTATGCCGTACGGACCTGGCATTTACAGTTCTACTATAAGCTCATGGTCGCTCTAGCGACCATGAGCTTAAAGTAGAACTGTTCTCCGGACTGTCCCCTTCAAATTAATAGCTGTCATCAGCTCACAAGCCGCTGATGACTGCTATCATCAAAAATACTGGGCGCCCCCCCCCCCCCCCCGGGAGGGATGAGAGACTCCATGGATCCCCGCTGATTTACATCACAGCCTGTTCATTCAAGAATTTATGAATGGGGACCAGCACTCACCACAGAGGCTCCTCCCCATTCATAAACTAATGATAGTAAGATATTTTTACTATCATTAGTTTGTGAATGAATGAGAAGCCTCTGTACTTCCCATTCATTGAGTGCTGGGGCTGCAGAAAAAGAAATTGAGGACTCTATGTCCTCAATTTCTTTTTCTATTTCAAAAGGGAAATGTCAGGGGTCTATTTAGACCCCAGATATTTCACTGCAGTTTTTTACATAAGTCGATTTACAGTTTTGCATACCTTCATTTTTTTACATTTTTGCAAAAAGGCGCAATTACAAATTTGCTAATATTTGTTATTTATTAGCTCAATACAGGTTTTATCTTTTAGATTTAGTCAGAAAATATTTTTTTTTGTGCACGGATACTGATTTTGGTATGTTTTAACAATTGAATTGTGTATTTTTATCGGTTTAATATTAATTTGAGAAACATTTGCGCAATTATCGCAGGGTCTACAAATTTAGTATCACCATCTTTTTATTCTACCGGGCCTAAGCTTTCAGAAAATATATGGTTTTGGGGGTCTTTTACAAACACTAGCAACCCAGCAGTTGAAAATCAAAAGAAAAAAATTGCAAAAATGGCTTGGCCAACATTTGAAAAATGTTCCGGAGGGCTTGGCAGCGAAAGGGTTAAAAGCTTTTACCGCTCATCAGTTTAGTGTCATCAGTGATTGATGGCCTTAGAATTATTGCTCTCACTCCGACGTTTGCGGCGATATGTAACATGTGTAGCGCAATTGTCGTTTTCTGACGCGTATTTACGTTTATTTGTGGGGGACTTAATTTTTGTTTTTTTTTACACTTAATGTTATTGCCATCACATAGGGGGATAACAATCTCCTTATAATAATAGCAAAGGCACACTGACAGAGACCCCTAATGTCTCCATAAAGAGGACCCAAGACCCCTAATGTCACCTGGGGTCCCCCAAAGAAGCTGATGTAGCAGAGATCTGCTTCGTCAGCTTCTTCTCTCTGGCTATAGCAGCCAGAGTACGGACAGGTGAATGCGGAAGTGA